ATATATATATATATATATATATATATATATATACACACATACACTGGAAGATGCCAATAAGAACAAGGGGAAGCATCAAACTGAAAAACCTGGGACCAAACCTGCATATAGTAGATACCCTAGAAATGTTTGTTAATTTTCTGATGAGTCTAGGAATTAATCATATAGTTTTGCAGTGATGTACTAAAACATATATTTTCACTCCTCAGGTAAAGGTTTTGCTGAAACTACATCTCAGTAAAGAATTTCTACAACTTTAAGGTTTATCCCACTTACTAACTCATAACTTTACTTCTTCTACCTTTATGTGGATGCATAAGACCTAAGAGTGCACAGCCAGCGGGCCTGGAGGACAGAGAACTGAGGGAGAAGGCTGGCTCCAGCTTAAGGTTTTGGATGGAGCAAGAGCAACAGAGAGCAATGGGGGTGATCTGCCTCCTACCTTGAGTGTCACCCATATCTGATTTAGATATTTATTTATTGATTTTTAACATATCTTTATTGGTTTCAGAGAGAGGAGGGAGAGGGAGAGAGAGATGGAAACATCAATGATGAGAGAGTCATTGATCAGCTGCCTCCTGCACGCCCCCTGCTGGGGATCGAGCCCCAATCACCTGGATCCTAGGTTGATGCTCAACCGCTGAGCCACACCAGCCAGGATGATTTAGATATTTAAATGAGACTTTATAATGATAAAGTTAAACATATTATACCAAGTGTTCAAGTCAAAGCTAACAAAGGAAAGGATTGCACCTTTGTAAAAACGTCACCCACATAAACTTAAAAATTGAAATATATAATATTCACCTCTAGAGGAACTGTGACCATCTGCTGTCACTGTATTTAGTGACAGAGCGAGCGACAGAGGAATTTAATTTTAAATCAAGCTATACGTGTACGACATTCAACTTTACCAAGACTGCGGTGCATTTGAGTAATTTTAGTATTTTATAATAAAAACACTAAAATTGACTGAATAATGCCATCTGATCTAAAGCATTGAAACAGGGAGGAGTAAAAAATACATTACCTGCAGTAATCTCCTTGCTTAGCGAGCAGCCTTGGCCAGGGAGGAAATGCAGGCAGCAGTTGCCAGGTGATGTACTGCTTTACACAAGGAGTGACAAAGTTCAATGACATCCCTACAGATGCAACAAAAAGGTGAGCAAAAGTGATTTCTCAGACTCACAGAGCTGTGTGATAAGCACTTCACTAGCTAAGATAAGCTAAAGCAAAATAACCAGTCATAACTAGCAGTTGAGAGAGTTGGAAATTACATGGAACTACTTTCCTGTTTAATATAATAATTTAGTTACTGAGGCTTCTTTTTGTTTCATTTGGATAGAATTGTATATATTTAAAACAGCTTCTATACAAAAATGTCTACTATTAATACCATATTGCACATTTCACCTCACCATGACATTTCGACTTAGATATAATGAACACAAATACAGTGAACATTTTCATTTAGCTTCAATAGCATCATGCACTACCCAGATGGGTCAGCTTCCCTTTGGGCTTCTCTTTCACAGGATCATCCAAGCTAGGAATAACAGTTTCTATGTCTTTCTCTTACGCTGAATCAGAAGCTTCTTCATGGCGGAGTTCATGTCCATCTTAATTACCTATAATTATAGCCCTATCTAGTCCATAACCTTGTCAAAATCTTGAAGGCAAGTAAGAAGAAAAAGACTTTTTTCAGTGATCTGCAGTTATCTTATTAATAGTACATACAGAAATTTACTTTCAGATTTGTTTTTGAAAGGTAACGGTCATTGCCTCAAACCTTTGGCTCATGATTAATAACTGAGAGTCTAGAAGCTTAAAGGACCCTTTATTGAAAGACTTACTCAGAAAAAATACAGGAATGTATCCAGGTGTGTTCTCTCTCTCTCTGGCTTAAATTACCCTGTCATCTCATAGCACGGGTATCCCTACATCCTTTTAAAGAAGAATGCCCCCAAAAGAGACAAGCAATCACCACAGAACTTCTCTTGAAATAGATTTCTCTAGTGTATTGTGGGTTTCAGAGACTTTGATATTTAGCCTATTTGCTTCATAAAAACAAAGGTTTTTAGAGTGCTTCCTAGCTTGAAAAGGCTACCAGATTAAGCTACTACGTGACCAGTTATTCGTATACGATCACTACATTGATTTTTTAGAATCTGTAATTTCTGATTTTTCTCGTAACATCAGACTAAACTATTCTATGTAAATGGCTTTTTCAGATACTAAAAACATTTTAAGTATCCAGCTTCATTTTTGTGTTAACTATCTGTGAATTAAAAAAGTGTATTTATGATATAGTCTATACTTTTCTGAGTACACAGAACATAATGAATATAACATACCCATTACTCACTAAATTAAAATTCATCAAAACAAACAACATCAATCCCACTAACAGTGTTGAGAGTTGGTGCAAAATCCCAACACAAAGGAGACTGGCCCCTGGCACCAGACGGGCGGCGCTCAGTTACCACCTCAAAACGCTTCTTGGCTTTGAAGATGCCACGCACGGCACGGACACAGCACTCCTGGAGTGGCTGCCCAGGGGTTATGCCCCATCCTTCCTGGTCTGGTGGCGGTTCCCAGTCTCACAGCTCCTTTGCCCCTTGGACTGTGCCCATTCTGTCCCTGTTCTCATTCCTGCCCGCCTGGCCTTCCTATCCTGGCACTCGTCTCGCTTATTGCGTGATGTTTTCTGCGCTTGCCTCTCTGGATACAGGTGTCAAAGGACCTTCGGCCCTAAAACACAGTCCATTTTTTCTTCCTCTCACCCCATCCTCGTAACATCTTGTCACCACAACCCTACGGTGACAACCAGAATTTGCTACAACACAGCAGCCTCAGGGTGAGGGTAACTGTACCTGATATTATTCCCGAATTTCCAGAAATGAAATGAGTGACATAGTTCTCAGTGGAGACCATTTCAGTTAAAAAAATAATGAAAAGGCAGGGAGATTGATAAGGTGGTTATTTTGATAGGGACAACAACGTTTTTCTCATGTCAATTATATGAAGACAGGAATAAAATAGAAAATACTCATAAACCTCAAACATCACCTTCGTAACTCTGATGAAGCCTCATTTGACTTCATGGTCTTTACCCACTTTCTTTACTCTGCCAGATTTCAAAATCACTATTCATACTTAGAAAAATGACAAGCTGAAAACTGAACAACTCGGATAACCATCTGGTAGACCGGGTTTATGTCACAACAGCATGCAACTCTATCGTTACACCTCCAGCCGACTTGAGGAGGCCAAAGCACTATAGCTTAACCTCTGCTCAGAGAGACGGCTGGATCCGCGGGGGCAGGGTAAGGCTACTGGGTTCGAAAGCTGTTGCTCAGTGACACCTGAAGTTAATAAAAGTGGAATGTATTCTATTTTTTATTTAAGCCACTGTGTAAAAGATACTATAATTCAAAAATTTTTAACCCCCACCAGAGGATATTTTTCCATTGCTTTTCAGAGAGAGTGGAGAGGGGGAGAGAAAGGGAGAGAAAGAGAGGGGGAGAGGGAGGGGGGGAGAGAGGGAGAGAGAGAGGGAGAGAGAGAGATCAATGTGAGACCCATCGATTGGTTGCCTTCCACACCCCAACCCGGCCGGGAATCGAGCCTGCAACCAAAGTACATGCCCTTGGCCAGAATCGGACCCAGGACCCTTCAGTCCAAGGACTGATGCTCTAACCACTGAGCCAAACCAGATAGGGCTATAATTCAATTTTTAAAGACTTTGCAGTTGAGATTATTCAATATCCACAGAACATCTTCTAGAGCACAGAAGAAGAGACATTTTTTGAGAGAGGGTTCCACTGACAGAATTTCCTCCAGACTTGATTTCTTGCACTATTTTGGTCAAAAGTAATATGACTAATGCACAACAGTACATATCTCAGTAAGACACAGATACACTTGTAATAGCTGGTATTCATTCAGTGCTCTGACGTCAGGTTCACTGCGGTTTATAATTTTAAATGACATCATGTTCACAGCAGCTGGCACTCAGTTAGCGCACATAACAATCAGTGCTGTTCTCAAGGGGGAGCTCTAGCCGCAAATGCTCTCAACTAAATTTCAGCCAGTGTTCTCTTTTAGATAAAAACTTTAGTATGTTTTTCTTATTTTGGAAGTAATATTTGTATATTAGATAAGCTTCTGAGATCATGTATTTGCAAGTAAATTAAAATCTCCAGAAGCCTTTCCTTTCAGAAATAATCAGTTAATATTTGACACTATGGATGTATATGTGTGTGTATAGGAATAGACATTTATCCAAAGAATATAAACAAATGAACGGTAATCATATTAACATAATAAGCATGTCTATTTGATTTTTTAAAATAGTGTGATTTATACGCTGTGCATGCATGTGGATTGACACAGAGAACTGTATCATACTTTGATACTGTTTTGCACCCGTCTCTCCACTTAACAATGTACCATGAGTGGCACGACCTCTTGCCATGTCCCATGTAATGCTGGCTCGCCCTGGGCAGTGCTCGGGCGCGTCAGACGGTGGCACAATGAAAGCAGAGCTCTCCTGGGTCGGCCTGGCAGAAGCGCGCAGGCCGGGGGCTGACACAGTGAGAAAGGCGGGAGGTCACAGTGGGCGACGAAGAGACAAGAAGGGGCAAGTCAAAGACACTTGGAAAGGAAAATGGACAAACAGGAATCTGGGAACAGGGAAAGGGAAGGAGAGAGGCCAAGGCGAGAGCCGCGTGGGCTCCGAAGTCACCTCGACCACGACGAGACGGGGTACGAGGCGCCCCGGCGAACCCCGGAGCCGAGAAAGCGGCCCTGAGGCTGGGGAGAAGGCATTTGGCCCAGTGTTCCTGTTCTCAGCGATGCTACGAAGGGAAAGCCAGGAGAAGGAAGGGACTCGGGGCCCTGAAAACCCTTCAGATGGGAAACTGGAAGTAAGTTGAGAAAGGAACAGAATAAACCAAATTTCTATCCCTGGATTTAAGACCCTCAGTCAGGATAACCTCAAAAGACTCAGGCTAAGTAAATCAGAATCTCTTTCTGACCCTATGCTTGGAGACGCCTCTGGGCAAAAGGAGATACCAACCTTTTAAAAACTGTCACATAATAATACCCTTTTCATTCCTTTTTCCCCCCACTTGTCACATTGGTTACTTTATATAAAGCTCCCTGAAGGAACTCACTGAATATTTACTGTTCCAGATTTTAAAGAGAAAGACTAACAGAGAGGTTTTCGTTGAGAGAGATGCCTGTGGATTCATCTTGGGGAGGCTTGACAGCCTGAGGGCAAGGGGTGCAGATGCTACCAGCAGACACCCCGGCTTGGGCCTGGGCTCCGATCCTTAACCCACAAGTGACTTCTGATTTCTACACCTCATTTTATTTGTTTATAAATTGGGGGTGATAATAATACTCAGCTCACAGGACTCCTGTGAGGAGTGACGAGCTGGTACACATGAAGGTGCTTCAGAGCCGGCGCCTACGGACTCACGCGATCAGCTGCGCACGTCCCTGCCCAAGCCCTGTCGCACAGCAGCTGAACACGCGTCCCCGTGAGTCCCCACGCCACGGGGATCGCAGACACCGCTGCTCTCCCAGAGCCCGGCTGCTGCCCATCACCCGCACACCGCTCACTTACACTTGGCAGTGTGAACACAGGACTATTCATAAATCCAGAACATGAGACATTCTTTAAGACAAGGGCAAGCACTTTTCAAAAAAATCCAATATTATCGAAAACCAAAAGGTGGGGAACTAACTACTCTAGACTGAAACTGACTGAAGAGACATAGTAACAAAATGCAAAGTATAAAAGTTGATTAGATCTTTCATTTAAAAATCTGAAGGAGGTAATTCAATATATTCTTAATATTATTTTTTCTTAGGCATGATAATGGTGTTAAGATTATACAGCAGAATGTCCTTATTTTTAGAAAATGTATGCTTAAGTATTTAGGGACAAAATGTTATGATGTCTAAAACTTACTTTCAAATGTTTTAGGGGGAAAAGTGCATGAGAGAGATATAAAACAAATATGGCAAAATGCTAACACTTGATAAATCTAGGTGAAGGGTACACAGGTATTCATTTCAGCTTTCCCATAAATTTAAATTTTTTCAAAATAAAAAGTTGGGGAGAAAACTAAACAACTAGCCCTTACTGGTCTAACTCTGAAAAATGTTAAGGCTTTACATAAGAAAAGTAAACCAAGTCCAAGGTGGGATTTCAAAAACATAACTCTAGTAAATATCCTTAGCAACAAAAAGTTAATACAGTAATAATAAAGTATATTTGGCCTCTCGCAAAATAAGCTTACATTTCAATGGATTAAAAATAAAATCAGAGAACACACATACTCAACTATTTTATGGCAGGTCACAAGCAGTAATCCCTACTTTTCTTTTTGATGGAAAGATTTTCCGGTCTATTTCTCATAGCAAAAAGTCAGATTATGTTTTTATTGTAAACTCACTCAGAAAATCAAGCTATTCAGCATTGCAGTCAAGGACTAGCTGCTCCTGGAGCTGATTCAGATGTCTGTAATTTTCTACAATAAAAGGAGAGGGGAAGCGGCTCACAGCTTTTGTGCTAGAAAAGGGGGAAACATAAACAGGAAACCAAGGTTACTAAGAAATCGGTAGTGCCATCTCTTCACAAAACTAAAGTAGATATTTATTATTCTCTGATGAGCCTTGAAAGTAATAGCTGTAAATAGAGAGCATTCTTTAATTATGGCCCTGAACTCTATTGATTCTAAAGATCTTTGTTGTAAATAAAGTACTTGGAGTTCATAGCACTTTGTTCAAGAAGCTTTTAAAATGCATTTCAAATTATATCCATACGACAACGTCAAAGTTTAGAATTTTCATTTCATAAGTAGAAAGCTCTTTCTTTAAATTATATTAAATGATAATGCTTGCTTTGAAAAATCAGAAGTAAATATGGCAAAATAAGTCCTGACAAAGCTGGGAGGTGGATACATTGGTGAAGGCCATACTAGTCTTTATATTTTATATTTTTCTGTATCATTAAAGCATTTCTGTGAAAAAAAGAAAAAAATATAAAGCATTACAGGGAATAGCAACACATTAAATCAGGAGGCAAAGAGGAGCTTTTCCATGACCCCACGGTAGAGTCACGGTGACCCTGGGTGGAAAGAAACAGCCTGGGCTCCTGCTCTGGGCTTGCGCACAATCTCGGCTCCTTCCTCAGGAAGCTGCAGCGCACACTGGGGGGGCCCTGGGTCCCCGGTCAGAGAGGCTGGGCCAAGGCCCCAACTCTGTGACTAACTGCTAGCTACATGACTTTGGGCAAATACAGCTGACCGCTAAACAATACTTTCCCCATCTATAAAATGGGCATAACAATAGCATCTCCCTCCCAGGCACTGTTGAGAGGCTCACACAGAGTGGCTAACAGTACCTCTGTCATTAGTACCCAACGTCAGGACTTGTTCTGTGGTGGTCATGGCGGTTGTTACTGCTGTTGATGTTATTACTATGAAGAGACCTTCAAGAAGAAAAGGTCAGGGCTGAGTGATCAGAAGGTGATGGCAGAGTGTACCCTGATCTTTGATTGCTCCCCACTCTGGTAATACACTGTCCCAGTTACCTTGAATGTGGCGAGTTGCTGGATTAGGCGTAAACCTATCACGTTCAGATCTAACTAATGATATGCTAACGTATCCCTGTCAGGACTCCAACTGATGGCCAAACAACAGATAAAAAATTATAATGAACCTTCCCCAGACCATCTTATTTATTCATTCAGTTTACATCACTGAATGTTCAAAAGACGCTGGCACTGATTTATGCCTTGCCTGTTGCTTTTAAATGATGTCAACCAGATTCCTATGCAAACATACTTATCATAGTTTTCTGTTTTGACCAAACTCACTTAGTGAGACATTTCAGTTATTGTTTAACATAGACTAACATGATTTTCAGTAATTCCTCTTCATAAAGCATATTTCCTTTCATTAGCTGTAGTACAGGACAAAAGTAAGTCAAGGAAAAAATGCCTGCAAAAAAAAAAACAATATCCCCAAAAATCGACAACACTCAAATCTCAATTACAGCTTCTGGTAACACAGAAAACAAAAAGGATGGTATTTGGAGCTAAAGAAACTGGTTCATGATGGTATCTTCAGCATCCTTTGATAGTGGCAATGGATAATAGCTTTTATTAATTAAAATAACAAATTAATTACCACTCACAAATGGTCAATACTTTCTTCCATTCTCAACAGAGTTATTTGGTACCATCACCAGCTATAGTCACTCTTTTATTATCTAAGGCAAATGTAACATTTTCATCTCAAATTCATGCAAGCAAATGAATAACAGTAGCAATAAATATTCCACAAAGGATACTACTCACAGGAGGATGCACTGCACCTCTTTAAGTGAGTCCCCTCTTGGGGATTAATGCCTAACCAAGGAAGAAGGCAGAGTCACAATGTAGTTCTCTAATTTTGATCAATTTATTTTCATCAGTTCATGCTATAACTCACAGAAAAAATGTAATGAACTATTACAACTATGCACCATGGGAAGCATTGAGAATAAAGAAATGCAGAGCTCAGTGAAGTAGAAAATGAAATTTCAGCTTCGTAAAAGAAATGTCAGGTATAGCATTCATCAAGAAGTTCAAGCAACCGAATTAATCTTATAATTGTAGGTTCCTCAACCTTTTTCTCTCATGTGTTTCAAGTGTACTCTGAGGTATAAAAATAAAACAGTAATTTACAAAACAAGAAAACAAATGTTTACAAATAAAATACCCTTTGGAAAAATTGCTTTAAAATTAATGATAAAAAACAATGAAAAATAATTTTTGGTTGAAGTTCCAGTACAAAAAAATGAAGGGTAAGAATTGCTTTTTATGACAAGGATGTGGTTATTATCAGTCAGTAGCACACAGATATACAAATGTTATTATAATTCATGTTAATTTAAAAATGAATATTTTTAAAGCTACCTTCCAACCTTAATCCAATTAGTTGGTATACAAGATGCAGCAGAGTTCTTTACTTCAATCATAAACTAAAATATAAATCAAAATCAGATATTTAAATTATTAACCATTATAGTTTAAAGCTTCCTCAAAATTATGCTAAATATTAATTATAAATAGTAAATATTATTCTAAAGAGTCAAAACAAATCCAGTATTGTTCTTGGGAGAGTTTATATGTGTCCATACAATCAAATATTATTAATCGGGGTCCCAATACTTGGGATAAAGTACAATCTGTATTGAGGAATAAGTTTGTAACAAAGGTGATAATTGGACACTTTAATGTCAAAGCCTTGTTTTGTGCATACCCAGAATAGTGATTTTTTTTCATTAATGACCTATTTCATTTATTAGTACCCACTTATCTTAAAAATTCTATTAATAATAACACTGAATTTCTAAGTACATAAAATTTTTAGATGTTCAGTTATTAGGTGTTACACAAGTTTGAGATATGGCCCCTCCCCGATTCTAAACACAAAAGGATTTTACTATAATAGTTTTTATCCAAAGAACCTAAGTCCTCTAAAAGTATCCTCACGAAGAAAGCACTTACTTCCCCAACTATTAAGGAAGATATTTTTCCCCATGCATGCTTTAAGTTTTCACTTAATATGAACCCCATCTCTATAGACACAACCGTGCTCTACAAGCCAGCTTTTCTGAAATCAGCCCAGAAGCAAGTGAAATCAAGCTCTCCTCTCACACCTTTCATTTTTAGCATTTGTTACGCAGCATCTTGTCTTCCTGCTCACATTCCTGTATTATTGCAATGAAAGTCAATGTTTTATTCAAATAAATAAACTTATTTTATACAGGATGGAGCCCAGAAGCTCTGTGGCCACCATTAATTTTGACATGGTTTTAGGAACTTTTTTGACACTGATCAGTTTTATAACAATTCAGGTACTTATAAGATGCTTATTATTAAAAGTATCAGCTTGCCTCTTGAGTTTACTTTTCTATTGATAGATACACTATAGCTTTTACATTAATTACAATAGTAATTCATAGTTAATTTTAAGAATTTTAATTCTTGGCCAAAATTTTATAACTAATGATGTCCTCTTATATAGAGAGAAATTAACAATTTCAAAAATGCCACCCCCAGTTAAAAAGTTAAGAGTGAAGAGCCCAAAGTCACTTTGGCTACAAAAAGTAAAGGGAAAAAACACAAAATAAATATCATGGATGGGAAAGGTAAAATCTCTTTAAAACTATGCCAAAAAATTCTGCTTAAGTATTATTTTTAAATGTTCTATGAGAAGACACATTGGTCTTTTGATAAAATAAGCCTGGGAAGAGCTATCTATGCCAAAGGCAAACCGAAAAATTTGGGAACATACTGGATCACTAACATTTGGGAAGGAAGGACACATCTAGATCAAAATGACTGTAACACAGAGCTCCATGGCCGTGACTAAGGGACGGTGGAAATTTTGAAAAGAAGCCCAACCTGCCTCAATGAGGTCTCTGGGCAGCCAGCCGGGCTGGGTTACTTAAGTGCATAATTTGAAATAATCTGCCATGATAGCGCCGGATTCAAATCTGTATCTAATACACACTACAAACCGCCACTGGTCACAGCCCCTTGGGGCAGCTTGTAAACAGTCTGGGGCCTAACTCCCCCTCTGGCAGTATCACGGGTCTGCCCCAAGGAGCTCAGCCCTGAGCTCAGACAAGCCCCGCGCAGAACCAACGCGAAGGCAGGCGGTGCAGTCAGGAGCCCACGGGGCCTCCGCTGGGTAAGCCTGGGCCACCTCCTCCGCGGGTGCTGACCCCGCGTTTGCTCTTTTTTCTGCAGCAGTCCCAGGTTTTCAGCCTGTGTTTCTCCTCAGAGCTGCCATCAACTAGCAGCCTTTTCTTCTTCTACACTGGTTATGGGAGAAGAAATTCACTGTTGCCTTTTACTAGCATTCTAAGAATGGGCAGAGAGGCCCTTCATTTAGTCCTGGCAGTGGTTAGAGCATCAGCCTATAGACTGAAGTCCTGGGTTCAATTCCAGCCAAGGGCATGTAACTCCATTGCAGGTTCAATCCCCAGCCCTGGTTGGGGTTTATGTGGGAAGCAACCCATCGATGTGTCTCTCTCACATCAATCTTCTCTCTCTCCCTCCCTTCCACTCTCTCCGAAGAGCAGTGGGAAAGATATCCTGTGAGGATTAAAAAAAAAAATTAAAAAAAAATAGTTTATAAACTGGTTTTTAGAGAGAGAGGAAGGGAGGAGAGGGAAACTTGAATTTGAGAGCGATATATCCATTGGCTGCCTCCCGCACGCTCCCTACTGGGGATCGAGCCCCAAACCTGGGCCTGACCAGGAACCCAACCAGCATCCTTCTGGTGCAGGGAAGACGCCCAACCAACTGAGCCACACAGGCCTGGGCTTTATTTACATTTAAATACACTTTTTTCTTGAGCAAAACTAATGCAAATAACAGTATTTCTGGCATTACCTCCTGTCCTGAGACTGTCACACATTGTGCAGGAGGATTTTTCAGTATTTTTCTATTTCTTGTGCTTGCATTTGGACCTTGAAACGCCCTGAACTTCATCCTTCCTCTTTTTTATTAAAGGGAAATCAGGAAGGTCTTTGAATAATTCTGTTTTAGCCCCAACTCTAAAAAATAAAAAAATGCAAATATATACATTGAAGCATATAATTTATACCAGTTATCACTTATTTTTCACAGCATGACAAAAACCCAAAGGGTTGGAAGTCTAGAAAACTGCCACTAAATATTTATGGGTAAGTTTCTTAATTTCTTTGAAGACAGACAAATTTACCCTAACATCATTTTTCTTTTGCAAGCTCATGATTCCAATGGTAAAACCAAGAGATAAAATTAAATATTCATTGTTTGCCTATTCAGAAAATAAACACAAACGTAAATACTGTCAAATCCCCTTTCTTTTATACAGAGTTCTTTGTGCGATGAATTGTAAAAGGCCTGCTTATGAAAGGACAACTCTGCTGCTGTAGTTTCTAAATATAAGGCAGACCATCCCTGGATTTCTAGCAAATGAGTATAAGATGCCCTCTGACCCCCACTTTTGGATGAATAAGCTGCTACTACTTGCTGTGTCTGGATTTTATAGTTTCATCATCTGATGCCTGAGCAAGTCACTACATCTGTCCTAGATGATGAACTGCCTAAATTTTAGACAGCAAAGTGTTACTTCTAGCTGTAATACAGAAACTTTAGGATCCAATCACAATTCTAATTTCACATGCAACTTCTTCCATTACTTTTAGTGACGCTTACACATCCACACATCAAATGGCAAATGCATTGGGACAAGCAAATTAAACTTCCACTACTGGAAAGGAAGAACTGAGCCTGCTACTTACTTGGCAGCTTGTTCATTAAGGACCTTTAGGTAACGCTCCACTGTACTGAGGAGCTCAGCAATTTCTAAATGAATGTCCAGAGCAGGTCTAACCGAACATAGGAGTTAACAGAGGGGATTAATGCTTGAAATTCTGACTTGAGGTGATAAAGGGTTTTGACAATCAAGAAGAACTCTTTGGTAAAACACTGAAAATAGAAATATATTTTTACCTAAATAGCATATAATACATGAAAATAAAATTTAATTAATGAGCTACTTAAAGCTAAAATCATAATTAAAATTTTTTAAATTTATTTTATGAGTTAATTGAAATAAAATATTGTTCATACCTTCTAAATGTCAAATGAACAATTTGAACACTTTATAAAATAATATTTTTAAGCTATAAGGAAAATAATTTGATATAGGGACAGTAAAGTCAATAGTTGCTCAATATTTTTTCATTTTCAAATACACTGACCACATAGCAAAAATAAACAATGTCAAAAATATAAAGAACAACTCTGGGGAAATATCTGTAAGACATATGAGAGATAAAGCACAAAATTCCCCCAAATATAATGAGCTCTCACAAATCTTACATGGAAAAGATGAATAATCTAGAGAATAATGGCTTAAATGAACTGAATTTGCAGCTTATAAAAAGACTGTCCAATAAGCACATGATTGACCTCACATATAATTAGGACAAGCAAGTTAAAAATACAGGAAAGCCATTTTTCACTTATTAGAATGTCAAAGATGTTAAAGCTTCATAATAACCAAGTCACATAGGGTGCAAAAAAGACCACTTTTATATACTGTTGGTATAGAAATAACCTTTTTGAAGGACAATTTGGCATATCATCATAATAAAAAAGTACACATATCCTTTGACTAAGCAATTATACTTTTAATAATTTAACTAAAAATATACTCTAGCAAGTAATGAAAATGTGTATCTGAATATTTATAGTAAGTTGTTTGTAATAACATTAAAAAGATAAATAAGAAACCGATATCCAGCAACTGAGATTAAGAAAAAACTCTTACACTGTATGAAACAGTTTCAAAGATTCAGATGTGTGTATGCACTGATATACAAATTGATATGGCACTCCATAATTTCAATATATATTAAATATACATAGTATACATATACCATATATATTTGCACAGTAAAATTCCATTTGTGATTCTTTAAATTATATGCATTATTCTATAGAAATAAAAGTATAAATAAAATTTTCTGGAAAGGCATACATGTAATTTACTCTGGGTAGTGGGGATGCGGGGATGGTAGAGGGGGACTTTTCACTGTATTTCATACCTGTTGTAATCTTTTACAACACTGTTGTAATCTTTTAATGATTATGAATAATTTTTACATTAGAGCTTCTGAAAAACAGAATGGGCTAAACATGTGCATCTAATTTCACTATAACTTGAAAGCACAATCAAAGACTGCTTCAAAAGGCAGGACACCACAGGAATAACTAGAAGAAAGGACAGTAACAGCAACACCTTATATCGCTTCTCGGCCTTTTCCCTAAGATCAAGTGCCACAACATCTTAGATATTCTAAAGTAAATAGAAGTAGTAAATGACTTGAAAGACTCAAAATATTTTAATCTTAAGCTGGCCCTGAGGAAAACTAGGACCCAACCTGAGTTATACCAAGAATCCTAAAATACTCAGGAACCGGTGGACAAATTCCCTTTGGAAGTGAAATG